GGCTGCTGCTCCTCCCTCCTCTTGCCTTGCCTTGTTTCTTTCATTTATATCTTGGCTTAACTCTCTACAAGCATTGTCAGAGCTGTGTGACTCTCGTCCAGGCTGACCCAGGACACAGACCTGGATCCAGAAAACCAGACCTGGAAAATCCAGCCTGTGGCCACTGACACTCTGGCCACACATCCATGAGCACTGCGGAGGTGCAATGCTCTTGGACATCATTTTGCTATGTGGGAAGTTCCAATTACAGAGGAATAACATGCCCAGAGCAGGGAGAAAGATGAGAGGAAAGAGTGGATGGCAACTCAGAGGAATCTGGCAAGAGGTGGTGGAGAAAGGATGTGAAAGAGGGTCCCATCTCTTAGTGCATTTCTATTTGGGCTGGAGTATGCAGAGAGAAGGGATGCTGCAGGGACAAGGCTTTTCCTCGTCCGCTTCAATCTCTCTCAGCTATTTTGCTGCTTCTTAAAGATGATGATCCCACTGAGTTTAGAAACAACATCCCATTCTGTATCCAGCTCCAGAGGTACTTTAGCTCAAATGCTGTTTTATTGCCTTCAAAAACCAAGGGAGAGGATTCACGGCTCTGTGGTAGGTCCTAGAGAGCATTTAGTATACCAAATCCTAGAGGACATTTGGAGAACACCATTAGAAATCATTACTTCCCTGCAAGCTTTTTGCTAGGGCACCAAACTCCATTTTGAGAGCAGAAGCCTGTTTTGGATCAGATTCCTTAGGATAACATCTGAGCTGAATGTGTCCATCATTATTGCACAGGCTGGATGATGTCTGGATGTTTTGTCCTCCAGGTTTTAGCAACAGGGAGCTGGAATATCCCTTGTAAGGCTGTTTCCATCTGCACCCAATTATAAGAAAGCCATCAGGAAAAAGCTATTTCCTGCCTGTCAGATCAGAGCAGCATCAGGAAACAGCTCGGCCACCTCCAGCAATAGCTTCCCAACAGCCACTTACCACTGAGACGTGGTGGGTAGAGGGATGTTAAACCAGGCTGACATCAATCCGGTCAGTTAATCCTGATGCTTGGAGATGGGACCACCTGCAAAAGCTCTGGTGAACAATGTGGATGTGCAGAGAGCTTTAAAAACACAGAAAGCACTTAAGTGCTTGAGAGCTTGAGCTTGTCCCCAACATAAGAAGGACATGGAGCTGCTGGAGCAAGTCCAGAGGAGGCCACGAGGATGCCCAGGGGCTGGAGCACCTCCTGTATGGAGACAGGCTGAGAACATTGGGGCTGTTCAGCCTGGAGAAGAGAAGCTGTGTGGAGACCTCAGAGCAGCTTCCAGTGTCTGAAGGGGGCTACAAGGCTGCTGGAGAGGGACTCTTCATCAGGGACTGCAGTGATAGGACAAGGGGTGATGGGTTCAAAGTGAAACAGGGGAAGTTCAGGTTGGAGGTAAAGAGGAAGTTCTTTACTGTGAGGGTGCTGAGGCGCTGGCACAGGGTGCCCAGAGAAGCTGTGGCTGCCCCATCCCTGGCAGTGTTCAAAGCCAGTTTGGGGGGTGCTTAGAGCACCCTGCTCTAGTGGAAGGTGACCCTGCCTGTGGCAGGGGTTGGAACTGGATGATCTTAAGGTCCCTTCCAACCCAACCCATTCCATGATTCTGTGTCTCATCTCCATCATGGTGTATGGAGAGATGTGCATGGGCCCAAAGAGATGGGAGGATGCTCCAGCACTTTCCCATCTCTTATCCACCTGCTGGTCCCTTGGCACAAGTGTTAGGAAACCCAACAATCGAGCAGGGGATGAGACAAGCCTGGAGACACTTGAGAAGTTCAACCTGGACAAACGGCTGGTGGAGCAGAGCCGGGAATGCTGGCTTGGATGAGACCTCTCATTCCCCTCCTGTAAGGTCAGTGGGTGGTTGTTGGTCGGCCCAGTAACCCAGCTTCGCCTTCCTCCCGCCCTCCTCTGCCTCCTGCCAAGCTGGTTCATGGAAAATGTTCATTAACGTCGTTCCTGGGACCTTCTACCAGCTGCCTCCTCCTTTGCCAGCTCCATGCTAAAGAAGGCAGCGCCCTGCAAGCCTCCTCCTCCTTGTCTTGCTCCATGTGTGTGTCAGGGCCCCTTGGGCCATTTAAGGCTTTGTGGGTCGTTGACAGCACCTTGACTTTCACCCAAAGCTGCCTTGGCAGCCAGGATGAAGTCCCAGCCACAGGGGCTTCCCGCTGGGCACCATCCCAGCGCTGGGCACTGCTGCTGGTCAGGCTGTGGGAAAAGCCCAGGGTAGGGAGATGGGGATGAGCACAGCAGCAGTGGGATGATGGTGTCCTCATCAGCACCCAATGGAGCCAAGGGGGTTTCTCCTTATGGCTTCTTAGGGGTGCTGTGGGGTTTCTGTTGTCTTGTTGGGAGGGACCAGGGGCTTTTTCTCTCTTCTTATGGTCCAACCTATGGGCTGGCAGAGGTCCCGTGGGGTGTAATTTACCACCCCAACAGGTGGAAGGGATCAGATGGCCTCAGCTATGGTCCTGCCCGCTGTCCCACAGCCCCACTCGGCTTCACCCTGGCTGACACACGGCAGCAAAGAGCCTTAACAGCAACCCAACCCCATCGTGTTTGCTCTGGCATGCAGGGCAGGAGCAGCAGACCTGCTGTAAATAAACAGGAAGGGCTTTTCCAGCCACTGGGGCCAGCAGGGAGGTGATCCCAGCTTCACCATCCCAGCCCTGAAGCAGTGGTGATGGACGGGAGAAGGGCAGGGCGCTGGGAATGGTGTGGAAAAACCATTAAGAAACCTGAGCTGGGGACACGGCCCTGGGATTAGTGGGACATGGTTTGTTGTCTTTATGAAGTATCTTATTGCTGTGGAGCCAATAAACGTGGTCTGGTGCAGTGATTGACTTGGAGATGGGTGCTGGTGAGAGCATTGGGAAGGTGGTGCATCCTGATCCCGGTGTCGAGCCAGGACCACGGCACCATCCTCTCCACAGGGACTTGTAACTGGTCTCTTGGGAAGAAACAGCCACATCTCTTGGCTTTTCTCCCAAAATAGCATCATTCCTTGGTGCAGCAGCATCAGTGCTGGCTGCAAGGTTGATGCATCCATGTGGCCAGGGCTTTTTTCCTGCTCTTCTCCTCAGAACTAAATGATGTTTAAGGTCCCTTCCAGCCCAAACCATTCCATCATTTTATGTTTCTATGAAACGTAGGATTTGGGAGTAATGGCAGAGCTTGGGCACTGTTTAAAATCATAGAATCATCACAGAACTAAAGTAGAGACACCACTACTTTCGGGTTGCCTGTTGTCTTGTATACTTGCTATTGCAGCTCCTTCAAATAGAGGGGAAAAGTCATAGGAAATGGGGTTTTTAATGACTTTTCAGTGGAAAAGCAGTGCTGTCACTGCACCGTCCCCCCCGTCGAGCCAACATCCGTGTGTCCATCTGGATCCCCAGCCCTCCTGCTGCTCAGCACCATCCCCAACCTCCAGCAGACAAGCTCCTTGCTCCCATGCTGGCTGCGGTGCCCGGCCCCGGGCAGCAGAGCTGTTGAACCCTGCTGCCCTTTCCAGGAGAGAGCTTCCATGGCTCAGCGGGGCTGCTGCCTCATCCCAAAGGTCAGCACAAGGAGCTGCTCCCATGCTCCCAAAGTTGAGTTGCTTTAAAAGGGCAGGAGCTCACCTCCATCCCGTATCATCAGGAGGAGGCATTTATATAAACAGGCAAGCATGGTGATGCTAAAACGCTCACAACCAGGTTGGACGGGGCTTGAAGCAAGCTGCTCTAGTGGAAAGTGTCCCTGCCCGTGGCAGGGAATTGGAACTGGATGAGCTTTAAGGCCCCTTCCAACCCAAACCATTCTGTGATGCTATGAGTTGTGTTGTTTTCACCCAAACCCGTGCAAAATTGGAGCATCCCTATAGCAAGGAGGTTTGCAGTGTGGGCATCCCAGAGTGGAAGGACGCATTTGGGGAAAAGGCAGGCTCCATCCTTGGTTGAGGAGAAGGTCAACAGGGGGTTGTGACCTTATCATTGTGCCATGTGTGCTGGATTGCATCTTGCCATGGGTGTCACAGTGTGCTGCATGACTGTGGTCCCTGCAAAAGCCAAGCTGAACGGGATGAATGGGAGCATCCTGGGTGGGCGTGGGTTTCCCCTGAGCAAGGCTTCTATGACCTGCACCCACCCTGCATCCCTTGGGATACGCTGGGACAAGCTTTGTGGACTGACGTTGTTGCTGTCACGGTGTTGAGAACCATCAGAGATGAGACAGGCAGCTCTTTCTCTCTCTCCCTCTGGCCAACATTCCCAACCACCCAGATGGAAATCACACCTGGAAGTGTCTCCTCTGCCCTTCCTGCATCTCTTCCTGCCTTGCCTGTTTCCAAAAGGTGCCATTTCCCAGCAGAAAGCTTTGTGTGGGGGAAGGTTATGGAACACTTCTGGCATCTCCCTCCCACTGGCACAGCTGAATGCCCAGCTGATAGCACAGACACACTGTTAGGGGTGAACATCTTGATGCCAGTCCCATGCCATGGCCCCACTAAGCTTCCTTGGAAAGGAGAGCATCAACCAAGCTCATTTCCAAGCCCTGAGCCAGAGCAGGTTGAGCACCAGCCCTTGATCCAGGCAGCGATCCCAAAAGAAGTCCTATAAAGGATGTGCTTTGTTCCTGCTCTTCCCTGAGTCCCAGGCATGCCTGGGACAAGAAAACCCTGTGTCCTCTCCAAAACAGCTTCTCCAGCCTCTTTGGCATCTCCTAGCATCACCTCCTTGAGGGTAGATTGTTGCTCTTAAGACTTTGATGGTTTGGGTCCATAAAATCAGGCACTTGAAAACACCGTATTTGGAGGAGCATCTTACTTTTATCACTGTCTTGGCATGCAACAGTGATTTGATAGAGAGAAGGAAGCACCAACGCGTCCTTCTCTTCCTTCAGCAGCGTGTTGGTGCCACCTGAAGAAGCCCAGTTTGGGAACCCATGCTCCCTGCAGGGCTTCCCTTGCCTTTCCCAACGTTGTCCTCTTTTTCCCTTGCAGTGCAAGAAGAAGCACACCTTGGTTTGCCCTGACTTTGCCAAGAACGGGCTTTGCCCCAAGGGTGCCCGGTGCAAGCTGCTGCACCCACAGAAGAGACGTCACCCAAGAGGAGAAGATGGGGACCGCAGTGCCCCCCCCTCCAAGTGGAGACAGGTCTCAAAGGAGACAGGCAGGTAGGAAAGAGCAGAAGAAACTCATTTTGCTGCTCTTAAAACCATTTTCTTCCCAGCCTGCTCCAGATGTTTCCTCTTCCAAGTGTGTATTTGTCCGTGTGCTGGTGTGGTTTGAGATGTTACTCATGTGGGTCACTGGGGTGGCCTCTTGACCGTGGGCAATAGGGTTGGGCAGGATCCGTGCTTGAAGGGGGGAGGTCTCCATCCAAAGGAAAAAAGAGGATAGCTTGTATCTGATGTGTATCTTCCCAAACCCTTGGAAATGGGCTTCCAGGCATCTCTGAGGCTTTTCTAGACCTTTCTTCTGGGAGATGGAGGAGCCCTGGTGGAAACTCCACTGCTTAAAGTGGGTATAGCTTATCCATAGCTCTATGGGAGACGGGAAACCATCAGCCCTTGCTCTCATCTCCATGGCAAAGAGCAAAGCTGAGCCCTCAGTATGGCATGGAGGGGCTCACCATCAGGGCTGGACTCACTGCCTGGAGAAGCAGAGATGGGGATGGGTAGGGAGATACAATAGGCTTTGTAAAACCATTTGATGCTGGGGAGGGGGTTGGTCCTTGGTTAATCCTTGGAAGCTCTCTGAGCTCTCTCTGATGCTTTTGGGTGCTGGGATGGAGCCACAGGCTGAGGATGGACACATTGGTCCTTATCCTCACAGGGAGACTGAACTTCCTGAGCTTGGCACATCCTTGTCTTCCTCTGCCCTTCCTGCAGAACAACTGCCTCCAGTGTAACGAAAATGGAAGCTAAGTTGAAATTTGGTTTTAAAAGCCAAAATCCAGAAGTCCTGGTTCGTGGGAGGAGAAAATACCAGTTTGGGTGCTCGGCTCCTCCATGTCTCTTTGCAGGTGCATGTGGGGTGAAGGTGGGATGGAAATGGAGAGACCTGGGAGCTGGGCTGGGCTGGTCCGTGCTCTTGCCCAGTCCTGGCCCTCCATTGTAAGGTAGCAGAGGGGGATGAGTATTCATTTGGCTCTTCAAGCTTATCCTGGTTTACAGAAGAGTCTTGGAATATCCCCCAGCTCAGGTCCCTGGTGTGAACAAGGTGTAGAATAGCTCCTTACTCTTCTTAGGTAGGGAGGCACCTTCCTCCTGTCCCAGGGCCAGCTCCTGGAAGCCTCCACTTGGAAGGGAGCACATCCAAGCTTGGAAGCTGCTCTGGAGGGATTTTGCCTCTATGACCCCATCACTGGAGATGTAGAAGGAGCTGAAGAATCTCTTAGCTGGGCTTGGTGCAGGACAGCAGGGTTGGACATGAGCCAAGCCCAGTGGGGCATCTCCAAGCATCCCTGCTCCCTACAGTATCCCATCTCCCTTGTTTAGTTCTCACTCAGCTCAGACAGCACCCAAACAGGAGCCCAGCATCTCCAGGAGCATCTGAGGACTGGAAACCCTGCAGGGAAGCAGAGCAGGGATTCCAGCTGGGATATCACAGCCTGGGATGAAGCTTGGGGAGCCTCCATGTGTGGCTTTGGTGGTTCACCCCAGCCTCTTCCATTGCTCGTGATTGGAAAGCATCTTCCATGCCCAGCATTGCCAAGTGGGATTGTTTTGGTTTTCCTTATTATTTTTCCCATGTGTCTCCTGCAGGAATGATCCAGCTCAGCTCCACGATGATGGGGAAGTGCCCGGACCCTCTAGTGCGGAGAAAGAGGTGAAGTTTTGGAAGGAAGCAAACACCTCCCCAGCCAGCTGGCCACAGAAGCTGCCATCCTTCATCTCCCTCCAGTCCCCAGAATCCCCCAGCAACCAGAGGTGCAAAGTGGAGGACGAGGAGGAGCCAGAGGATGAGCCAGGTAGGAAGCACTTGCTCTGCGTTTGCTCATGTGCGCTCCGAGCTGCTCCAATTCCAAGTGGGAGAGTTATTCCTCACTGCTTTCCATGGGTTTTGGTGGGATCAGTGTTCTTTGTGAGTCACCAAACCCCTTAACACTGGGAGCTCAAACTGGGATGGCATCTGTGACTCGTATCTCTGTGCACGCAGGTGCATGAGCTCCTGGCTCTGCTCCCAAAACCACGTTAGGGTTTTGTCCCCATCTTTTATCTTCCCTTATCCCATAAATTACCTGATGATGAATCCAGTCTTGTTCCTGTGATGGAATCACAGCACTCCCTGGTAGGAGGGTGTTTCAGAGGGATGCAGTGATGCTCTGCCTTACCATTGGACCCACCGAGTGATCTCTGGACCATCCATCACATGTGTTTCTTGACATGAAATAGCTTCAAAGCTTTGAAACCAGAGCATCCCTTACTTCAGGATAAATGAGGTGGGATGATGTGTTTGCAGGTTGGAAGTTCAAGGGAAGAGCTTGTTAATCTGGGATTATCTGCTTTGTTCTTCTGTTAAAAACCAAGGGTTTGGAAATAGGTAAAAATTGCAGTTTTAGGATGAGCAAAACTTAGGGACTCTGACACGTGAGAGCACTCTTGGAAGAGTTCAGGGAAATGTTTCAACTGTTTGAAACTGGGGGGAAAAGGGGAAAAATTGGGGAAGCAACAAGAAGAAACATCTTTGTTTCTGTGCAAAGCAGCTCATGGTGGAGGTTAGCTGCATTCCTGCTTCTACAGTGTTTTCCTTGATTCTTCCTCTCCTGATTCAGCTCCCACACTAGAAAATCACCAGCATCTCTATGGTAAGGGATGGGACTTTGGGGCACTCTGGCGATGCATTCATGGGAGCAGAGGTGATGGTGATAGCGAGGCAGAGACTGTGCTTGGTCCTTCCCAGCACTGGGTGGGAGGTTTTTGGATGGATGATGCTTCACACTTTCCTGTTCATCTCCTGTCCTTCACTGGAGGGATGTGAAGCAGCTTCATCTCCTGAGCACCACTGCTGAAAGGGAGGCAGCATTTGGCAAAGAAATCATCCCTCCACATCTCCAATCCCATGCAGGATCCTGCTGGGATAAGGGATGAATTCAGCGCCTAAAGCCAGGCTGGGGCACTTATACTCATCCATGAGCAGGTACCAAGGATCTGCAAGGCTGTGCCTGTCTTGATCATGAAGCACTTTGAGCCAGGTAATGCTGTTGGAAAGAAAATTCCCAGGATTAGCAACATCCCTGAAATCACAGGCGAGTGCATGCGCTGTCAAACCATGGCACGATGGAGACCATTCCGGCCAGGAACGCTCCCATCCATGACATGGGGTGAAACTCTTGGCTTCCCTTTCCAGGGATTTCTTGCCCTGGGCACTTCCATCCTTCCCTTTCCTTGGCCTTGGTTCAGTTCCCTTCTGAACTCAACAGCAGGGCCAAGGAAGCAGCAGCTTAATCAGATGGTTTTATCTCTGTGATCACAATGGAGCAGTTAATGCGTGGACAAGAACACTGTTGGAATGCCCTGGACTGCATTTGGCAGCCTGGAAGAACTCGGCCAAGAGGACAAAGTCATCATCCTGGCATCATTTTCCTCTTAAATCCAGTTTGCACATTCATGGGAGTATGATTCCAGGCATTTTGGATGGGAGGACGAGTAGAAAGAGCTGGTTCGGTCCAGGGATGTCGAGAGGACGGCTGTGGGTCAGGGAATGCATCACTCCATTCTCATTTGCCTTTGCTCAGGGAGCATGTGGCATCAGGAGAGCAGATGCTGGAGGATCCATAGGAAAGGAAAACCAGGCAGGAATTGCAGATGGCTGTAAAATGATCTGATGATGAAGCAATTTCCCTGCCAAAGGGATGCAGTGGTGGCACGCATGGTGAGCCTGGGCATGAGGATGCTGCTCAGTGCCGGGGTTTGCCCATGCCCTGGAATGTGCTGGGTAATTAAAGTCTCATCTCCAGACACAAGTGAATGGTCTCAGGGGTGCAGCAGCAGCCAGGAGCCCCCATAACCTGATGGGAGAAAAGGAGCTCTGGCCACTGATGAACAGGATGAGGCCATTGATGCTGCTAAAGGACCAAATGCTTCATGTTGGCCAAATCAATCTTCCAGTGTCCTCAACATAAGAAGAACATGGAGCTGTTGGAGCAAGTGCAGAGGAGGCCATGAGGATTATCAGGGGCTGGAGCACCTCCTGTATGGAGCCAGGCTGAGAACATTGGGGCTGTTGAGCTGGAGAGAGACTCTTCATCAGGGACTGGAGCGACAGGACAAGGGGTGATGGGTTCAAAGTGAAACAGGGGAAGTTCAGGTTGGAGATAAGCCAGAAGCTCTTCCCTGTGAGGGTGCTGAGGCACTGGCACAGGGTGCCCAGAGAAGCTGTGGCTGCCCCATCTGTGGCAGTGTTCAAGGCCAGGTTGGGCACAGGGGCTTGGAGCAAGCTGCTCTAGTGTGAGGTGTCCCTGCCCATGGCAGGGGCTTGGAGCTGGATGAGCTTTAAGGTCCTTTCCAACCATGACCATTCTATGATCCTCTGATCACTGGGACTTTGCTTATAAGCCTGAGATGCTGTTTTGACCTGAGCAGGTGGTCAGGATGAATCCTTGCATAGCTTTAGGTAGTAGATGGTGTCTGTGATGGGGTTTGGGGTCTGCGCCTTCCCCGCTGCAGCCATCGTAGCAGGGATAATGGTGGGTTTCTGCTTGTAAAGCCTGAAGGTGAAACGCAAATTGGAGAGGTAGTAACTAAGGAGGAGGACAGGTTATTATTACAGAGGGAGCTGAATTGCTTGCTTAAATGGTCACAATGTGAGAAAATACCTTTTTAATACTGGTAAATACAGGAGAAACAAAGAAAAACACCAGCTCTGTGCCTGGGAGAGATGGAGGGGGGGTTTGGAGATGACCTTTAAGCACCAGCGTGGGCAACAGCGTCAGCTTGCAGGGTATCAGTGGGGGCTGCAGTGTCTGGCCTTGGGATATAGGTAAAGGGGGGCTGGAAAGGACTGATGCCCATGGCAGGGGAGTTGGAACTAGATGATCTTCAGGTCCTTTCTAACCTTATTCTATGATCGTATGTGGTCTGATGTCGTCCTCCCATGGCGAGGGTTCCCAACCCTTGTAACCTGAGAGTGCTCAAAGCATCCTCCAAGAAGCCCATGGGGAGAACAAACCCCTCCAGCCAAGCATCCCACCCGGGAAGGCTGGGCTTGGTGGCATCCCATCCATCACCTGCTCGTGTTCTCCATCCAGAAGGGCAAACCCAGCGGGAGCATGGGCTCCCCAACCCCTCCACCAGGTAATGGGCTTTCCCAATTTCACCTTCCAGTTCAATCGCCTGTGCTGGAGCCTCAGCGGCCTCCCCGCTCTCATTGTAAGCAACTCCAGCACCGCAAAGCCTTCCAATCGAGTGCTAATTTAATTAGAAAGCACCCATTTGAGTTAATTTGTTCGAGAAGCTCACGGAAAACTCCTGGAGTGAACAGATGTTCCCCTCTCCCCCGATGAACATTCAGGGCTTTGTAAATGGCTCCGCTCAGCCTTGTTTAGGAGAGAAAAGAGGATTTTATAGCTGCAAACGACCCTTTCTGTAAACATTTTACAGCTCTCTGCACGTTTGAGTGACGATAAAGCCCCAGCAAGTCGTCGGGCTGCAAAGCTGGGACCATACGGCCATCATTTCCTTGTCATATTTCACGGTCGTAACGGTAATGGAAGCTGCTCGCTACAGGCTTTTCCTAACGGCTCCGCTGAGCACGCTCAAACGCTTTGGCTTTGGAGGGATTCGGGGAGGTGCGGAGCTGCTGAGGGTGTTCACAGCTGTTCACGGAGGCAGGGAAGGGTTTGGGGTGCAAAGGAGCTGAGGATCATCCAGTTCCGGCCCCTTGCCATGGGCAGGGACACCTCACACTAGGCCGTGTCCCCCAGGGCTCTGTCCAACCTGGCCTTGAACACTGCCAGGGATGGAGCATTCACAACTTCCCTGGGCAAACCCATTCCAGTGCCTCACCACCCTTACAGTAAAGAATTTCTTCCTTATACCCAATCTAAACTTCCCCTGTTTAAGTTTGAACCCATCACCCCTTGTCCTCTCACTCCAGTCCCTAATGAAGAGTCCCTCCCCAGCATCCCTATAGCCCCCCTTCAGACACTGGAAGCTGCTCTGAGGTCTCCATGCAGCCTCTCTTCTCCAGGCTGAACAGCCCCAACTTTCTCATCCAGACGGGAGCATTTAGTGCAGACCTTGGTGCAGCTCAGATGGATGGGAGGTGGTTGCAGATTGCCTGAGATCTTTGGTCTTTTGCCTTCTGCAGGCAAGAGCAGCAACTCAAATCTTTATAGAGGAACAGGGGTTTAGCAGGATAATGGTGTTTGACCTCTGCGTGCCTCAGTTTTACCCATTCCCTTACCTCCTGCTCAGCAAGAGCTCTGAAGCTTTATTGCTGGTTTATGGGTGGCTTTGGGAGCTGGAGGGTAGAAGCATCCAGGACAGTTTGGGGAGAGCCAGGGATGAGTTTGGGCATGAGAGGAGCAGATAAACCATCTCCTTTGTGTTTCGAGGGGCACCGACGTGATCCCCACACCAGGGTGCTGCATCCATGTGCTGCTCATCATCATCATTGTGCTCTGAGCTGCTCAACCCAGGATCCACATGGCAGGACCTTTTCCTCCATCCCTGTGGAGATGCCACCAGCGTGTATGGGATGAGCACACCACAATCGTCTTCCTTCCCCTGCAGTCCTGAGTCATTTTCAGGTTCAGCTTCCATCCTGTGATCCATTTTAGGATGGACGAGGACACATGGCTGAGGAGGTGTCCTCTTAGGAGGCAGGTAGGAGATGGCAGGAGTAGGTGGAGGCACTTTGGTGGTCATGGGGGAGCTCATGGGCGTTACAGAACTTCCTGTATCCTCAGCAGGTGATACCAAGGGGACAAGGATAAGCTAAGGAGAGGAAGGACAACGGGACAAGGAT